CAAGGGCTGTCGATCTGTTACCTCTCTCCCGAGCTGAATTCCCCGGAAGAGAACATTGGGAAGCTGCTAAGAGGCTCGGAGGTCAGCAAGGAATCTACTCTGACAGATCGTCATGTTTTATAGGCAAAGAAAACATAGGCCCAGCTCCTGAGCATAGCTCAGCTGCAGCTCAGGGCAGGTCAGGAAGGAAGTTAAAAGCCACCTTTCCACCCTCTCATCTCATCTTCCCTCCCTATTCGGGAAGCCAGTTGGCCATTTTTACCGGTGTAAAGTAGAGCAACCTCAGGGCTGCTTTATGTTATGCCATCTCCCCTACAGTGCAGTTCCGGGATCCCAGCCATAGGGATGCCACTGGCCATAGCCCTTGCCCCAGGATGGAGATAGGAGGGAGGTGCATGAGCTGCTATTATTATTTATTATTTCTAGTACGGGGTGCCTAGAGGCCCCAAATGAAATCAGGGTTGTTTTGTGCTAGGCAGTGTACAGAAACACTTCCTGCCATGAAGAACTTGTGATTTAAAGAGACAAGATTGATGAAGGGTGGGAGGGGAAACTGAGGTATGGAGATGTTAAGTGACTTGCCCAATGTAAGCAGCAGGAGCCTGACTGGAATAGGACAGGGTCCCCGTTGAGTGCTCTATACACAGGCCCACGCTGTCTTTGTGGCCGGGGGAATTTTCAGATGGCTCTTACGCATATTGTAGGGATGTTCTGTGCCATTGGAGCGTCTCAGAGCAGCCAGAGCACACAGGAGGATCTGGCGCATAGACTTTGGCCGTCAGGTGGCGTCTGAGAACCAAACGTAGACCCCTATCCAGCAACGCACTAAAGCACATGCATAATTTCCAGCATGTGAATTGTCCCCTTGAATCAATCGACCTAATGGTTCTATTCACATGCGGCAGTTGAGCCCGTACTTAAGGGCCTTGCTGGATCAAGGCCTTAGTGGAAGAAAAAATTAATGAAGAACCAAAAAAAACCCACACAAAAAACCCACCCCGAAGGCTGTTAAATTGGAAGGCAAATGAAAGAAGGTGTAAGTTCCCTGTCCCAGATGTTTCTCACCACATGGCACCTCCAGATCCATGCTGCTATTTTATCCCCTTATTTTTCAGGAAAGCAGAAGAGAAGGAAATCACTTCAGATGTAATTGCACCTCGCAGCTCCTGCTCGACTCTATTACACAAACAGTAGGGAGAATTCAGTGTCCTCTATGTTCTTTTCAGAGTATTAAAAAAAAGTATCTGGGATATCTGCAGTCAAACCACCTGCTTTCTTACTTGGTCATGGTTACCTCATCCGAAAAGCAACCCCCTTGGTTTTTAAATAGCATAGGTAGATTTTGTTCTACAACATATCGCGTTCCATAAAAACGTAATGCAAATAGTAAAGGGGAACAAACCATGAAATTGTCCTACTGCTTTTAAGTGGCCCAGATGCTGGTATAAACGTGGGCGGGGGTTGGTTTTTTTAATACAATTGGCGTATCTTTTGTGTTTCTCCTTTCTAATTCTAATCGCAGGCAGCCTTCTTGGATAGAGGGTCACATTAGGAAACATTTACAGTGCAAGTCCGCGTGCACTGTATCTTACTGCTTTTTTCAGTCTTAGAGCCTGAGTCCATGTCCATTGAAATCAATAGCGCCTTCCCATTGACTTCAGTAGGGTTTGGGTCATGTTCCTACTTGAATTGCCCAGATTGTCTGTCTCTGTCATATATAGGACCTATCCCAAATATACCTTGGGACACTTTTCCATAGAAATGAAAACGACTATTAAAAATAGCTCGGTTTGTCTTCATCTACCACTAGCTAGCTAATATAAGGCTCTAGACAAATGGACAGAAATGCATTCAAACATTCCTGTGTCAGGTAAAGACTTGTGTGTTCCAGAAGGAGAGGAACTGAACGGCAGGTTATTTACAGAATATAGTGTACATTTTAAATCGAAGGAGCACCCCAAAAGCTTTCTGGTCTGGTGAAATTTCCAGCACGACCTTTTAAGCTCCATTCTCTTCTTTTTCTTGAAAATCCTTAATTTTCCAAATGTAAAATTGAAGGCCCAGTGGTACCAACGAGCAACTTTCAGCTTGCAGTGTGGTTTTGAGCAATAGATCATCAGAGCAATGATGCCCAGATGATGTATTGCACTAATACATCATACCAGCACTATCGCTTTCATGATATATTAGTATAATACACTATCAGTACACTATCACTGATGTATTACTCAAAAAACACAGTTTTTAACCTACAAAAAGCATCTTCAGCTGTAACCTGATTATTATTTTTCTGTATTATTTTTCTTCAGCATAAACAATAGAGTATTCCTCAGCTTTCTCTAGGGCAGTCTAGGAAAAAAGGGAGAGGCATTCAGACTACCTTGCTAACTGAAACTTTTTCTGTCATTTCTCTCTATTCCAGTGAGCAAAGACTTCTTATGGACTGAAGCTAACACCATATCTCAGTGTGTAAATTTCCTACCAAACAAACAGGCAAAATAATTTTGATTTTTGGGCTTCAGTCTACACTTGAGCCATGTGTTCTGAAAATCTTGCTGCGGTTCATCACTGGGGGTTGATTTGCAACTCAGCAAGTGATACCAGGGGCAAAATCCATATAACACTTTGCACAAAGCACTCAGGGCTGTTTCTGATGCCCCGAGCTCCACCCTATCTAGGCACTGAGAATGAGGCTTTGTAGAATCATAGAAGATTAGGGCTGGAAGAGACCTCAGGAGATCATCTAGTCCAGGGGTCAGCAACCTTTCAGAAGTGGTGTGCAGAGTCTTCGTTTATTCACTCTAATTTAAGGTTTCGCGTGCCAGTCATACATTTTAACGTTTTTAGAAGGTCTCTTTCTATAAGTTTATACTATATAACTAAACTATTGTTGTATGTAAAGTAAATAAGGTTTTAAAATGTTTAAGAAGCTTCATTTAAAATTAAATTAAAATGCAGAGCCCCCCGGACCAGTGGCCAGGACCCAGGCAGTGTGAGTGCCACTGAAAATCAGCTTGTGTGCCACCTTCGGCACGCATGCCATAGGTTGCCTACCCCTGATCTAGTCCAAGCTGTCTGGATTCTTAGCAGTAATAATTAGTAAAAGATGGGGGTTCACTTGTTTGGATTTTATCCCCCTGTTTTCATTACAGGGGAACCCCGCTATAATGTGCCCCGGGACACCGCCAATTCGGTTATAACGCGGGACGAGTCTGGCCCCGGCGGCTGGGGGGCGTTTGGGATCCATGCCCTGGAGGCCGCAGCAGGAGCGACTCTCCCTGCAGCCCCGGCGGGCCCCTGGGGTTCTCACCTCTGTCCCCAGCAGGGCCGGCTCCAGCCCGCCCCGACGGCTGCGGCGGGCGGTCCGGTCAGGAGAGTGGGGCAGGGCTGCAGGGCTGCCACGCTCCAGCAAGCGTCCGGCCGGCGTCGCGGGGCTGCGGGGCTGCCGCGCTCTGGCCGGGAGAGCGGGGCTGCTGTCCTCCGGCCGGCGTCGCGGGGCTGCGGGGCTGCCGTGCTCCAGCCGGGAGAGCTGGGCTGCTGTCCTCTGGCCGGCGTCACGGGGCTGCGGGGCTGCCGCGGTCCGGGCGGAGGTCCGTCTGGGGTCGCGGGACGGGGCTGCCGCACTCCGGCCAACGGTCCGGCCGGCGTCGCGGGGCTGCGGGGCTGCCGCACTCCAGCTGGTGCTCTGGCCAGGGGAGCGGGGCCCCCGAAGACGATCGCCGCCGGGGCGAATTGGTCTAAAGCCGGCCCTGCTGACCGCCCCCCTTCTCTCTCTCCCCCCCGCTCCCTCCCTCCCGCTAGCCAGGGCTCACACTCTGCTGCAAACTGCACACAAGTACAGTGGAACCCCGCTATAACGCGACCCCGCATTTACCGCGATTGAATTTTTTGGACCCCAATGATCGCGTTATAGCGGGATTCCACTGTATTTGAAATTATTTATTTACCTATCTTTCCCCAGAGTTCATGATCAAATACAGACCCTCTCTCTCCATAGTACAACAGGGCCAATCTAATACATCACACCTCATGGAGGCAGCTAACAAGGAAGAGATGCTTTTGAGGGAGGGTGTTGCTCTTGCAGCTACCAGCGCCGGGGTTCTGCCAAATATGGAGGGGACTTTGGGGCCCGATCCCTTGTCCGTTGAAGACAATGGAAAGACTCCTATTGACATCAGTGGGCTCCTTCATTTCCACCAGTTTTGCAGAAGACTGTTGCGCTCTGTGACTGCTCTAGCCACACGCCCTTTCTGGCTATGCTCGTCCCTTAACTCTTCTTCCTCATAAGGGTTGTGAGCACTTGGCTTTCCCAGAACCTGGACTCCCAGTGGGTTTTATGCCACCAGGGCCCTCCACCACCAATTGTACCAGCAACGTTCAGGTTCCACTTTCTTGGAAGATGTTGTAAAAGCAAAACTTTTTTTAGCCTTGCAGAATACATGCTGTTAGGCATTCTATACATCCCCATGTGTCCTCCCCATAATACCATTGCTATCTGAACAGCTGTGTGGTTTGACAGCAGAGTCTGAGGAGAATTTCCTTTATCCCATAGTCTTCTCAGAACACTGCCGAGCCAATACTACGTAACCCTGACCCTGCAGCCCTCCGGCTTACACCTGCTATCTACCTTCTAATGCAATCCGAAGTTGGCAAATTCTTATTCCTGTCAGTTTCAAAGTCACAACAGTCAGCTCTAAGATATGCTGTCATTTCAAAGCGCTGGCTAAATACAACTCAGACTGACAACTCTGAATAATTCCTAAACTTTCTGGCATTTCGCTCAAAAGCTCATATTACAGCAAAGTTGCTTTCTCATGTTTTTCATCTTCTGTAGTCTGTGAAGATTTGCAATTCAGTTATAGAACAGGTTAACGTTTTTTCCCTCTGATAATAATAGAGTGGGAGCCAGTGTGTAGTAATAGGATGTCAGGAAAACATCACTGTCAGCCTACAAAAATTATCTAGATAATCACCATTGTTTGTTGTCTTTGAATTTTCAGCACGTTCATGTCCATGTACTTCCAAGGAAGGTTGGAGACTTCAGCAGAAATGACAGTGTCTATGATGAGGTAGGTCTCATTCAAAGATCTTATTGCTAGATCAAAGTGGGTGTCAGTTCAATCAACCTAACGAGCCAGGTCTTGCCCTAGATAAAGTGGCATTATTTAAAGTGAACACCACCAAATTTGATTTTTTTGAAGCTGCTGGCAAAGAATCTGGTGATTACAGAACACCAAACAGGATAGTATATGGATTTTCTTGCAAGCGAAGGATCAAATTATGCAATGCATAGGGCTGTAAAGAAGTGTTGGGCGACCCCTTAAGCTCATGTGAGCTACCCTTGCTGTGAGTAGTTGTACAAGGGAAGATGCAGTTTCACGTGCTACTTCCATCTTTTCATGTTCTCTGTATGTATATATATATATCTCCTCACTATATGTTCCATTCTATGCATCTGATGAAGTGGGCTGTAGCCCACGAAAGCTTATGCTCAAATAAATTTGTTAGTCTCTAAGGTGCCACAAGGACTCCTGTTCATCTCACGTTCTGTCCCCCATGCACGCAAACAGGAGTGGGAAGGCCAGGGTGGGGAATGGGCAGAATTTTGCACCATGCCCCAACAAAGGGGTCAGCATAGCTGCGCCAGCACTGTGAGGAAAATACCTTTCATTGGCCATGGACCTGGTGCAGGGTACTTCCCCCTCAGAGCAAGGAGAAACCCAGGAGGCTGATTACCAATCTCAGAGTCAGTGTCTGCCTCTTGGCCTGCTCCAGGGGCCACACAACAAGACAAGCTCATGGTTCAGCCCTAGAGATCAAAATTAAGCAGAATAGATGTGCGTGTCTTTGATATACATATGCATGTGGCTCTGATTGCAGGATTGGAGCCATAATCAATTACATTGTCATGAAATTGCTGATTTTTTTGACATGAACATTTGTATTGGGCATTACCACTTTCCCTAGCTGATAATCTGAATGAGTTAAATGAAAATTGTAATCGACACACTTTTGTGTGCATTTCTTGGTTGCTTGGTAAGAGATTGTATCTTAAATATACAGACTTTATTCCTTCCTGAAAATTATTAATGTCAACTTTTTTCGACACCACGCCATCTGTTTTAGGAAGAATCATGATATTTTTCTGCTGTTGCACTTTTTTCCCCTTTGTGATGTGCCTATGATAAGGCTTCCATATAGAATGTTATTTACACATTCTACAATGAAAAATGTTATATCTTGTGTTGGATCATCTCTAAATGTTATGACTGTGAAATGATTATGGCAGTGAAATATTAGCTTTGGGAGTGATGTGTATGCGAGAGTTATGGGATGGATGGGGGCCCTGACCCTGGAAAACACATGTGACCAACGATGCACAATTAGACCAAATGAGTTCATTATGGCAGTACTTGTGTACTGCTGTGATTAAAGGAATATCAGCAACTTGAAATCTAATCAATGTTTTTAAAATGTGTTAAAAATAGTTTTAGATGCCACACCAGTCCCTGAGTTCCTCTGCCTTTTTTAGTTTTGTTTTACAACGACATTTTCCAATTTTTAAAAATACTTTTCTTTCCCCATTGCTGCATGTAAAACCCACACACACAGGTAAAGCGTAATGAAACAGACTATACGCTAAGTGCAGTCAAATGGAAAAAAGTAAGCAAACAAAACAAGATATTTCTTTCTCATTGCTTTCAGTTATAGCAGACGTGGGTGGTGTTTGTAGCAATAGTGAACAAAAAGAAAAATCAGACAGCAATCTGGCTTTAAATTGACATATATATCCTTTTGAGGATGAATTTAAACCCCAGTGTTGTTCAGATATTGATAATTAGCCACATGTGTTTTTCAATGACTGTAGTTAAGTCCGGATTTCAAACCTTTAAACTGTATGACGTTAGACTGTATTGTGCCAAAAAATTGTCATTTAGACCCAGCTTAAGTTGTTCAAGACAAAGTTCTTCTGCTTTGTTTTGTTTTGTTAAGCAATACGTTACTGTAAGAGCAGTGGATGAAATCCTTCTGATATTTTTGGGGAGTTGGGGAACCAGAAATTATCACAATATTTAAACATGAAAGCTGGCTATTGAAGGTGTGGAAGGTGTGCAGTTTTGCGGGGCGAAGAGGGGTTGAAACTGACCAGTAGTGTAGCAGAACCTCATGTTGTCACAGAAAGATGTATCTGTTTGTCAGGAAGATCCATGTGTGGATCTTTGACAGGTCAGAGATCACTCTGTATCGGCAGGCTGCAGCTCTGTAACAGGTAGCCTGCTAACCAGTGAGATAAGGCTGTTGGAGTGTTCTTCAGATCCCAACTCCCCTGGAACATAGTCTGAGGTCAATCGATATCTTGGTTGTAAGTGTGGTTTAGTTTACATATGGGAGGCTGCTAAAAGGAGCTATATTTTGGATTGCAAACATAGACACTATTCTGTAATTGCCCCCAAAGGCCCATTCACATATAGCCTGTGTATACGTGCTGCTCAGCCTACTTGTCACAAAGCATTTTGACAGGGACATCTCATTAAAGTGTACACCAAACCCAACCACAGTGCAAGATAAGCAAATGCTCTGTAACTATTGTGTAGGATTCTCTGCAAAGTCCTGATCATAGCTTTGATTCAAGTGAACGTAAATCTCCAAAGTGCCTTTAACTGGTTTAGAGCCTTCCAGACTGTGACACATTGTCATCTGTTTATGCTCGGTAGATTGTTGGCAAGTCCCATGACACTCTTCACTCTTTGACAAGTGAAGAATGTGCCCAGATGTTGAGGCATCAGTCTGTAGGATTTCTGGAGACAAGATGTTGGAAAGGAGCTGCATCCTCTTGATGTCTCCCCCCACTCCTCCTATCCCGGGTTGTCTTGGGAATGAATATCCCTGTTGTTGAGTAATGGTTTGAGCAGAGGAATGGGAATCAGGACTTCAATAGGTTGAGCCCCCTTGGGTAAATCCTATTTATCCTGCATTTGGGTGTGAGGCTTGGAGATTCTGTCTCCTGACACTATTTTAAGATATAAGGGGAATATTTAAAGGTAGAAAATAATGTGTCTATGACAGATGCAATTCCCTGTACTTTGGGAGATCTCACTGAATTAGGTTTAAGTATCTTTGGAGTCCAGTGTATTAAATGCAAAGGTTCTGTAATATTGTGGGTCTGGGTGATCAAAGGACTATATTAGATAATATGGCAGACAATGAACTGTTGGGACAATAGTATGAAGTGGAGTTTCTGGGAAATAGCTAGGAGAAGGTAAATGCAATTTTACACCATCCCCTCTGCCTCTGGTTATGCAAAAACCCAGGCCTTTGAAGCTACGCCCTGAAGGGAGGACAATTGTTTGCTGTTCCCAGAGCCCCAAGATCAAAGGCGCAAACTGTATAAAGGAGGAACTCTCAGATTTACGAGAGTGCCCATTCTGAGCTAACAGTTGTTATGAACTTGTAACCACAGAAAACCCCTTGGTAGGTCGAAGGACGGATCATCTGCCAAAGCCATGACTGGAGCTGGGGATGGGGGGACCTGTGGTAAGCTATTAGCATGCATGCAGTATGTTTTCTCCTAAATGCTTTTATCTTCAGAATAAATGTGCTTGCTTAGAAAAATTGTGTGGTGGATTAACTGTGGGCAATTACACTGTTTATAGCCTCTGAGGAGAAAGCAAAGCAGGCCTGCTGTGAGTAAGTTTGACTTACTGTGAAACTCACAATGAAGGCAGGGAACTGTGGGGCCTGGAGTCAGAAGGTAGAGAGAGTTGTGTGTCTCTACCCAAGACGGGGGATGGCTGAGGAGCTAGGAGCCTAGAGTGGGTGCTCTTGCTTGTGCATGGAGGGAGAATACAGTGCAGTTGCCCTGAATTGTGAGAGTGTCTTTATTGCTTGGTATGTTTTTATGGGATTGACCAACAGGCTGTGTTGGATGATGCCTCTTGTTCTTGGTGCATATTTATACTTTCTTTATGATTCAGTATTGGAAAACTTAATCACAAAAGAAGAGAGAGAAAAACATCCAATCCCAAAATGCTTTTCCTGACATGTTTCCTCCAATGAGTCACTTGATCTAAGCATACGGATCTCAGAGCATACTTCAGACACCTCTGCTTGATTACTTTTAAATATTTATAGAATCGTTAGTAATGAAAAAACCTACTGGATTTGGACCATTTTGGCTGAGGAATACGCTTTCCCTCTGCCTCTGCAGTGAGACTCCCTGAGATTTGTTTATTTCCTGGGGACTGCTAATGAACCACCATGTCACTTTGTCACAGTGAAGACTAAAGGTATGTTTTTTTAATCCTCCCGTTTTCCTGAAATTATTTGGAGCCCAACCCTGCAGACAACTTACACGTGACTGTTAAGTTTCTTTCCTAAAGCAATTACAGGATCAGGCCCTTTATATTTTACTCTTGGTTTATACCCATTTCATATCAATCTTGAGGCATTCTTATCAATGAATTCTATTTGTTTCTTGAAGATTGGAACTGCAGTGGAAGATCTGGATAGCTATTAGGAAAAGGCTTTAATCAAAACACATGTATATTGTCATCTGTATTTCTTTCATTTGGTTTAAAAGAGAATGAGATCTTTATATTTATCCATCCAAGGAATTTAAGGGAGTTTTTGTCAAGGAATATCTGCTTTACAATAGAGGATCGGTTCTTTTCTGCTGTGAAAGTATGACACAACAGATTGATTCAGTTGTGCATCAGTGGATAAACTCTACCGAAGAGCTACATTCTGTGTTGATATAATGAGCGTGGGCACTATGTAGCTATCAGAGGTCATTGTATTAAAGACCTTGAAGACATTATCCTGAAATGTCTCTCCACGCTATGTGTTTGTAGAACCTCTAACACAATGGGGCCCTGATCTCAGCTGAAGCCATTAGCAGTTACTATAATAAAAATAATCATCATCCTGCCTTAGGTTGAGGGTAATAACTCTCTTACTGCGGTGGGTGTGGGGCTCTTCATTGCTGTGCATAGAGAACAGAAAAAAAACAGGCTTGTGTTACCATCATTATTAATGAACGTTGATGTTGGATTGACAGCTTTGGCGGCTG